CAAAAAGAATAACAGAGGACAAAAGAATGGGAGAAAAACATCGCCTCATCACTCGGCGATCAACTGATTGTGTGTGGGTCCTAGAGCGAATAATAGCAATCTGTATTGTCTCGACACTCGTCTAACGTGACATCAATCAAGGGGTGGGAAGACCCGCGAGCCAGCAACAGGGAATTATCGTGAACTGTGCCTTTGATACGGCCCTCAACAACATTCAATTTCTGTCGTAGAAGCAACAGAGCACATATTGGGCCATCTATTGTGGTGCAAAGTATTAGTTGAGGTGAGGTTAGCTATTCCTTGCAGTTTCTGGCTTCCGAAACAATTCCCAAACAAATGAGTTAGGTCTGAAGAAGAGAGCAACGTGTTGGGTGGGAAGAATCGACGTATGAATCTGAGCATTTGGAGCTGCTGCTCCTGCGGCCATCTCTACTAATTAGCTTTCTGTATACAAATAATAACAATTTTGATAATAACAATTTTGAAGTGTACATATGAAGTTCAAAAAGTGCTAGTGGTTACATTGGTCTCGGCACGCATTGGTCCTGATCTAGCTGTCGACAGCAACTCATAGAAGTAACTCTCCCACTTGAGAGTCGGGTATCTCGACATCAATTTGTCCAAATTGATCCTATTGTATTGTTTTCCATAGTCCCTAGAATGAAAAAAAAAGTTCTATGAGCAAATGGGGATAAAACCGGAAAGGTGGATGGGAACTGACCTCAACTCACTATCTGGCCATGATGCCATGGCGATTTGCCTCTCGAAACTTACGATGTCGTTCGAAGCCTAAAAGATTTTCTATACAAGATTTTCAAACTATGGAGGCTTCCATGTGGCTTCAACGAACGAACGTAATCAACGAGGAAAAAAATGACCTCATCTATCATATCATTGTATTTTGATGGATCGTCCAAGATCAATTTGGCGAACTCAGTGAGCATTCGTTTTATCAGTTTGCCTCGAACCTCCAGATATGCCATATATTGTGGCTGTACATAGTACTCCCGAGGCATAGGGAGAACGGGCTGTAAGACAAAAGTGAACTTTCAAATTGAGAAGCTACATACCTTTTATATCTTCTGTAAACGGTGTCAAACAGAAGAACGATAATTTCTACTTGAAATTTACAAAATCCCAGACCCGAACCCTGCTGTGGTGAGAAAACGATGAACCTGTGACCCGCAGAAATAGCATAAGGGACGCTATCGAGTCGATAGGGCCCAATAGGGGTCCCAAAATTGGCGCAGCCGAGCTACACACCCAAAGGAGAAGGAGTTCCTTCCGGAGACGAGCAGTAGGAACGGTATTGTCGAATCGATCCGCCGCACGCGGCTGTCGCGGACCTTTGGCCTCGTTATAACAGTTCTAGCGTGCAGCTCAATCGCTATGCGATTACTACTTTTGGCATGATTCTACTGTTAGTTCTTTTGTTCCTGTATTACTTATCTGCCGCTGCATTCTAATACGTTCCGTCGGCTTCTCTCTCGCCGTGAACGACAATGTCGATCCTACTCCTATTATCAATAGAAATTTTAGAAACATAATACCTGTGAAATATATAAAGTATTTGAGTCTGTTTGCTTGTAATCGGATGTCACCCATGACGCCGTTAATGTTCCGAGAGCACGCAATTGCAGAAGAGATCCAGCTGTTTCAAAGAAATCGTAAGGTCTGTCGATCGTATGATTGAGAAAGGGAATGGCACCAAACCTGAATCACAAAATAAGACATGCTTGATTTGAGATTGGCTTATCAATTAGTCATTTAATGACAGTTCCTAAGATGGGGATATCATGGAGGAGAAATTTTTTATCAGAATGATTTATTGGGTGGGATTATTCCGAGACAGTCCAAGCCATCCATTCTCAGGTTATAAGTGACTGGTACCATTCGACGAAAAGAGTTGTGAACATGTAATTTTAGCTCCCTAAGACTTTAGGCTTGGAAAGTACCTATATTCTTCAACCGTGGATTCCATTCTTGACTCATGGGTTCTCTAGATTCATTCCGATTAGGAGTCCAGAATGTGCCACTCGATTTGACTCAAGATTNGTTCGAAGCCTAAAAGATTTTCTATACAAGATTTTCAATCTATGGAGGCTTCCATGTGACTTCAACGAACGAACGTAATCAACGAGGAAATAAATGACCTCATCTATCATATCATTGTATTTTGATGGA